TCTCTGTCAGCTCCAGAGGGAAGTCCTTGTCTCTTTTGAGCTTCTGCTCCTGGGCAATCTTCATGTGGGCGTGGCATGTATCTTCCCCATCTCTGCTTCCTCACTTGCTTGGTTAATCTCTTTTATACCTTAAAAGATTGACTTACAGCACACCTAAAACTCATGCTGTCTCATTAAGATAAAACCTACTCCCAAATGGTTTTACAACCAGAGGTATAGGAGTTAAAAGTTACAACACATATTCTTGAAGGACACAGTTCAATGCATAACATTATACCCTTTGCCTCTCCCCGCCCCAGTTCATGTCCTTACCACATGCAAAACACATTCACCCCATCACATCATCCCAAATTCTTAAATCAACTCCAAGTTGTTCTCATCTTCTGTATCTAAATCAAATACAAGTGAGATTTTAGGTGTATTTCGTCCTGGGGCAAAATACCTCTTCATCTGTGAACCTGTGAAATCTAGAATACAGGTTATCTGCTTCCCAAGTACAATGATGGAATAAGTACAATGTAGACACTTCCATTACAAATGGGAGATATTGGAGGGAAAGAAGGGATAACAGGCACCAAACAAGTTTAAAACCCAGCAGAAAAAAACTATATTAACTGTCAAGACTTGAAAATAATCCTCTGTTCTCTGAGACCGTCTGGGTAATGGCCCCATCCTCCAGACTGGGTGTTGGCCACACTCTCTGGATTCTGGGTGAAGGCCCCTCGGCTCTGGGTTTCGCCCCCGCATTCCAGGCCCACTGATATCCAACTCTGCTCCCTTGGATTTGGGCAACCCCATTCTCCTAGTCCATCTGAGTGGCAACCCCATCCCCTTGGCACTAGCAGGCCCCATTCTTCTGCCTCTTGTGTATGGTAGCCCCACCCCCTCAGCTTTGGGCAGTGACCCCATTCTCTTGGCCAAACTGAATGGCAACCCCACACTCCAGAACTGAGTTGGTGCAGATCTGACTCTTTGAAACCTAGGATGCTATGGCTCCACCCTTTGAAACCCAGAAGGCTGTGGCCCCACGCTTTGTTTCCTAGGAAACCTTAGCTCCACCCTTTGAAACCCAGGCAGCCCTGCTTCCCATGCTCCTTTGAACAGTTCTGCCGATCTTCAAACTTCTCCTGGGACAGTCCTTTTCTTAGCGGACAACAGATGTAGTGTCTTTGGCCTGTTTCCTTGCTGTGGAATTCCAAGAGGAAGACAGCTTTCTTTCCTTTCATCCTCTCTTTGTGCCCTTCCAAGCTGATGGGTTTTCTGCTGTGGTAGTTGGTTAGATCCATCAGTCACAGACTTAATCTCTTTAACAAAAGATTGTGTAGCCACATCCTTGTGAAAACTCTAGAACACATGTCCTAAGTTTGTACAACAGAATTTCCCAAATCATTAAGTTTTGCTTTCATTGTGCACAGTTCATTTTTAAGTCCATCTCTTTCCGCTCACATTTTACTATAAGCAGCAAGGAGAAACCACATGGCCCCTTTAAGATCTTGCTTAGAAATCGCCTTAGCCAAATATCCAGGTTCATCACTTACAAGTTCTACCTTCCACCAATCATTTGAATATAATTGACTCAAGTTCTTCGCCACTGCATAAAAAGCATCTCCCTTCCTCTGTTGTCCAATAATGTGTTCATCATTTTCTTTTACAGCCTCACCAGAAACACATTGAATGTCCACATTTCTAGCAAAATTCTGTCGATGATGCCATATGTTTTCTCTAAGACAACAGAGACTTTCTCTATGACTCTCCTCCTTTCTGAGTCCTCACTAGAAATTGCAAAGCAATCTAGGCTTCTATTAGGCATCTTAAAATTCTTTCAGACTCTACCCATTACCCAATTCCAAAACCACTTCCACATTTTAAACATTTCTTCGAGCAGCACCCCGCTTCTCAGTACCAAATATCTTAGGCTGGATTCTCTACAGGAGCAAAGCCAGTGAAGTGTATATATACATATATATGGAGATGATAATGAATTCTGGCATTGACTGCTTCCCTGCCATGGGTCATGCAGCCATGATTTTATTGAATCCATTCAGGAACCCTGAGGATGGTGTTGTTATGCTCACAATTAGTCTTTCCTTTTACAAACAAGGAAATAGAAGGTCAGAGGCGTTCAGTGACTTGCCCAAGGCCATGCAGCTACAAGTCCGGCCAGTGCACAGGAGGGAAATTCAAGAAACCCCCAAACTGAGCATTTGGACTCACTAGAGAGACAACCAAGTCCAGGGAAACATGAATGACCTCTAAGGGAATGGAAGGGTGTAGACCTACATCCCGGGAGACCCCTTCCCATGTCCCTGTGACACCTGCCATGTCAAGGGGCTTTCTTCCCATATCCTTGCCCCCCTCCCCACATACCTAGGCCCTTTGTCCATATCCCTGGGTCCCCTCCACATGTCTCTGGGGCCCCGTCTCATGTCCCTGGGTACCTCCCAATGTCTCTATGTCCCCTCCTGTGGTGCAGTGAATTACTTAATATGGCCCTTCTAGCCACGGTCTTTGCGACTTCCACACAACGATTGGGTGGGATTGTGCAAATGGGGTCCTTGTGGCCCACCAAGAGGACTGGACTGCTTGCTGCAAATGCAGATAAGGTGTTTGGAACCTGTGGTGGTTATCAACTTCATTGGGCCATGATTTTCAGTGGTTTGGCAGTTATGTAATGACGTAGTCATCCTCCATTTTGTGGTAATTGTCCTCCATTTTGTGATGTGTTGTAAATCCTAGCCTCTATGACTGTGGTTATGGTCCCATTTGGGAGTGAGTTGTCTGTTATGTTAATGAGGCAGGGTTAGGGTGGGATGTATCTTGAGTCACCACCTTACTAAAGGGGGCGTGACTCAAGTCATCACCCTTACCCTAGTCACCACCCTTAACCACCCTTATTCCAGTCACATTCTTGCACCGCCTTGCTCAAGTAAGAGGAGTTTCCTTGAGGATATGGTCTGCATCCAATATATATATGAATGCTCTGGCAAAGTTCTCTCTCTTGCTCTGGAATCTATATCTGGCCCAACATCATCTGACCTCCAGTTCTTGGAACGTGAGCCAGCAGCTTGTCATCTGACTTGTCATTTTGGGTCCATCAGCCCCTGCAACCACGAGTCAGAAGAAGCCTCCAGCCTGATGTCACTCCTGACCCAAAGATTTGGGACTTGCCAGGCTCCACAACCCTATGAGCCATTTCCTTGATGGTTCATGAGTTCTGTGACACGTTACAGTGAATTACATAACCTAAAGACAGACCCTCCCATGCATCTGTCAGTTTGTCATATTGTGGGGGCTTGAGCATTGCTGTGATGCTGGAAGCTATGCCACTAGTATTCAAATAGCGGCAGGGTCACCCATGCAGACAGGTTTCAGCTGAGCTTCCAGATTAAGACAGACTAGGAAGAAGGACCCGGCAGTCTACTTCTGAAAATAATTAGCCAGTGAAAATTTTATGAATAGCAGCAGAACAGTGTCTGATACAGTGCCAGAAGATGAGCCTCTCAGTTGGAAGGCACTCAAAATATAACTGGGGAAGAGCTGCCTCCTCAAAGTAGAGTCGACCTTAATGACACGGATGGAGTCAAGCTTTTGGGACCTTCATTTGATGATGTGGCACGACTCAAAATGAGAAGAAACAGCTGCAAATATCCATTAATAATCAGAACATAGAATATATGAAATATGAATCTAGGAAGATTGGAAGTCGTCAGAAATGAAATGGAGTGCATAAAGATCAATATCCTAGACATTAGTGAGCTGAAATGGACTGGTATTGGCCATTCTCAATCGGACAATCATATGGTCTACTATGCCAGGAATGACAGACTGAAGAGGAATGGTGTTGCATTCGTTGTCAAAAAGAACATTTCAAGATCTATCCAGAAGTACAATGCTGTCAGTGATAGGATAATATCCATATGCCAACAAGGATGACTAGTTAATATGACTATTATTCAAATTTATGCACCAATCATTAAGGCCAAAATGAAGAAATTGAATATTTTTACCAACTTCTGCCATCTGAAGTTGATCAAACATGCAATGAAGATGCATTTGTAATTACTAGAATTGGAATGTGAAAGTTGGAAGTAAAGAAGAGGGAACAGTGGTTGGAAAATATGGCTTTGGTGATAAAAATGACACTGGAGATTAAATGATAGACTTTTGCAAGACCAATGAATTCCTCATTGCAAATACCTTTTTTCACCAACATAAATTGCTACTATACACGTGGACCTTGCCGGATAAGATACACAGGAATCAAACTGACTACAACTGTGGAAAGAGATGATGATGTTGTTATTGTTAGGTGGCATTGAATCAGTTCAAACTCACAGTGACCCTATGTACAACAGAATGAAACACTGCCTGGTCCTGCACCATCCTCTCATTGTGATGCTTGAGCCAATTGTGGCAGTCTCTGTATCAGTCCATCTCGTTGAGGTTCTTCCTCTTTATACTGACCCTCTACTTTACCAAGCATGATGTCCTTCTTCAGGGATTGGTCCCTCCTAATAATATGTCCAAAGTATGTGAGTCTCACCATTCTTGCTTTTAGTGAGCATTCTGGCTGAACATTTTCCAAGACAGATTTGTTCGTTCCTCTGGCAGTACATGGTATATTCAATATTCTTCGCTAACACTGTAATTCGAAGGTATCAATTCTACTTTGGTCGTCCTTATTTATTGTCCACCTTTCACATGCATATGAGATGACTGAAGACATCATGGCTTGGGTTAGGTGCACCTTAGTCCTCAAAGTGATATCCTTCCTTTTTAACACTTTAAAAAGGTCTTTTGCAGCAGATTTGCCCAATGCAATGCATCTTTTCATTTCTTGACTGCTGCTTCCATGAGCATTGATAGTGGATCCAAGTAAAATGAAATCCTAGACAGTTTCAATCTTTTCTCCGTTTACTAGTCCAGTTGCGAGGATTTTTGTCTTCTGTATGTTGAGGTGTAATCCACATTGAAGGCTGTAGTCTTTGATTTTCATCAGTGCTTCAAGTTCTCTTCACTTTCAGCAAGCAAGGTTGTGTCATCTGCATATTGCAGGCTGTTAATGAGACAATGGAAAGGTCAAGAACAAAGGTCAAGGTCATATGGTAATTCTATGTTCAACTTTTTGGAAAACTGCTGAACTGTTTTCCACAGTGACAGCACCATTTTACATTCCCACGAGCAATGGATGAGAGTTCCAGTATCTCCACAACCTGTTAACGTGTGTGTGTGTGTGTGTGTGTGTGTGTGTGTGTGTGTGTGTGTGTTTATCATTGCCATTCTAATGGGGATGAGGTGATATCTCATTGTGGTTTTGATCTGCATTCCCTAATGCCTAATGATGCTGAGCATCTTTCTTGGGCCTGCTAGTAATTTGAATATCCTCTTAGGTGAACTATCTGTTCAAGTCCCTTGCCCATTTATTGACTGGGTTGTTTGCCTTCTTGTTGTTAAGTTGTAAAAGTTTTATGTGTATGTATTTTGGATATTAGGCCCTTATCTGATACATGGGTTCCAAAAATTTTGTCCCAACCTGTAGGGTTGTCATTTCACTTTTGTGTAGAATCTTTACTTTAATGGACTCTCAGTGTCACATCTTCCCCATTTGTACCACCAAAGCTTGTTATCTGAGAGCTCTGCCTGCCTCCATACCTATCTCCCACAGCATGACGTTACCTGAGGACTGTTTCTTCCCTGTGTGATGGAGGTTCGACTCAGCTTCAAGGACTGGCAGGGAGGTGGCCTCAAGTATCCATTCTCTGAAAAGGCATAGCTGAGCTCCCTCCTTCCTGGGACATTTAAACTGTAGGTTGGTTGGTAGGTGGTATATTTCCCATTTCTGGGGCTTCAGAGGTTGAATTCTTACAAATGCTCACTAACTTAATTGTTCTATTGCTGCTATATTCCCTGAGCAATTTGGTTCCCATACAAAAAAACCCTCATTGCCGTTGAGTTGATTCTGACCCATAGCAACCCTATAAGACAGAGTAAAACTGCCCCACAGAGTTTCCAAGGAGCACCTGGTGGATTCTAACTGCCCGCCTCTTGGTTAGCAGCCGTAGCTCTTAACCACTATGCCAACCAGAGAGTGAAAATAGACAGGAACTCTATACTGGTAATATTTTTATTTTGGGAGCAGTTTGGTCCTAGATATGTGTATCCACTCCCCTGGGCCCTTCCTCTTGGTGTTCTTTTCTCTTTGGGTCTGAGCTCCATTGTTCATTCTACTCCCCACTGAGCATTTCTTAAACATTTGAGATGGAATCTTTGTCTATGAAAAACATGAGTGAGCACTTCTTTCAAGGCCCCTTTGAGTCCCTAGCACATTGACTGGGAGCTCTGGAGAGGGGTCTCAACCACACCCAATTCAAAACAAAACCATTCCGATAGCTTTCCCACAACTTCTAGTCATATTACTGAAGACAGATTATAGAGAAAGTACTAGGCATGCAATTAGGAGAAATACTGCAGAAGTGGATTTCCTGTCTGAACAGCAGAACTCTGGGGACCTACAGCTTTATGGGGTCAAACAAATCCATCACATAGCCCTCATTATTCCAGTCTAGAGGGTACTGACCATCTTTATCAAATTTGCAAGGGGCTCATTTTGCAACCTGAATCAAATATTATTAGGACATTTCCAGAAAATACACAGGTAGGACCTTTGGGGAATTCCCTTTGATTGAGCTCTTAGAGCCTGAAGCATTTGTGAACAAGGGTGAGAGACCTTTTCCACCAGAAGGGTAGACCTCCTGTGGTATTCGCAGTGTTCACGTCATCCTATCAGTGTTCCACCACCCACCTAGTCAATGCCGTATTCCTGAATCAACTTCCCCCTACCCCCATAGTAGTGACATTCATGGATCACTCTTGGTGTGAATGCATCAATCTATACTAAAGCATACTGCAGAAACAGCCCTGTGAAATCTATTGTTGGATCCAAAGAAAGAAAATGATTGAGGACATGCTTCAGTACAACACATAGTCCTCTTGAGAATGTCGTGGCTAAGTGTTTTCATTGTCTATATATCAGGAATCATTATTTGAATGATTTGTGTTTATTTGATCAATCTTACGAATTTGTAATTGATCCAGTCTCCTCTCTTTCTTCTGGCTGGTATAAAAAACAGCGCCAAAGTTGGCGATTCACCTTAGCACTTGCGTAGGGATACATGGTACATTATAACTAATTGTAAAAATGTTTGGAAGAGATGAATCAGAAAGGTGAGGCACATGCAGTTTATGCAGAAGCTCACAGGCCACTGAGAAGACTATGGCCTTAACTGTGCATGATATTGGAAGCTACTAGAGGGTTTCTGAGTGGAAAAAAATCATTGATCAGACTTTTAAGTAATAGAGAACCCAAGATTGAGAAGGGACAGTGTTGACATGTCGTGGGGTTGTTAACCATTGTCATAAAACAATATGTATACTAACTGTTTAATGAGAAACTATTTGTTCTGTAAATCTTCATTTAAAGTACAATTAAAAAAAAATCTATGGAGCAGTTCTACTCTGTAACACATGGGGTTGCCATGAGTCGGGGGCCCACTCGACAGCAGCTGACAACAACAACAACACTGTGACTTCCAAACCAAGCCATGATGTGCAACACAAACTACTTATTGCTTAGACTAGGACCACCAGTACAATGTTGAATAGAAGTGGTAAGAGTGGTCATTAAGGATGATGATAGCTGTAAGTTTTTTGTAGTCGTCCTTTATCAGGTTGAGGAAGTTGCCTTCCATTCCTAGTTTATTGTTTTTGTTATTTTCATAAAAGGACATTGGATGTTATCAAAAAGATTTGAATCTACTGCTATAAACATATGATTTTTTTTTTTTATTGTACTTCAGGTGAAGGCTTACAGAACAAATAGTTTCTCATGAAACAGTAGTACACATATTGTTTTATGACCTTGGTTAACAACCCCACAACATGTCAACCCTCTAACTTTTCAACCATTTTTTTTTGGTGAAAATACACACAGCCAAAGATACACCATTTCAAAAATTTCTACATGCACATTCAGTGACATTGACTATGCTCTTCCAATTGTGCTGTTATTCTCACTTAAGATGAAGGCTTTCAGAACAAAATAGTTTCTCATTTAACAGTTACTACAAATGTTGCCCTATGACAATGGTTAACAATCTCACAACACATCAACAATATCCTT